AATACATGTTAAGATGGTATGGTCGCAGTATGAATATAAATCAATCATCATCATGTCTCATCTCCTAATCTCAACAATAACTCACTCATGTGCACATCTATTATTAGCCGCGGAAAGGGGATGCATAAACCCTAACGACGGGAGTGCATGCCACTGTAACCGACACGGCCTTTCATTAGGTCTTAAGGAGACTTGCCTCGCAAGGGCAACCGTACCGTAACTCGACGGGGACAACCGTACCGACGGCCGTAACAGCTCACATCAGTAGGCCACATGGTTCACATTCATACATAGGTCATACCAACCAAACACTGAAACACACGTATGGCATAGATAATTTTATAAGTAAACCCACCTGGCTTCCAGATTGATAACAACACGAATAGAAAAGACGTAGGTTGAGGCTTGACTCATCAATCACCTACATTAAGTCAAGATCTTACAATCAACATTTATCTTGACTTAAATGGAAAACACAAATCATACTTAGTCGAACTTGATTCGACTAAGTTGTTCGTGAAGTCCTGTGGATATTGGAACATTTAGACCCGGCACTACACTCAACCAAAACATACATGGGAGTTCACATAATTCAAACTAACGATTGACCAAGTCAAACAAACAAGAAACGGAAAGTGAGCCAATTTACAGCTTTTAACTCAAAAATCATATTTCTAATTTATTAATTAAATCACAAATTTAGTTGATCTAGTTGCCCTATGAGTTGGACTCTGAAATTATAAAAACAAATACAACTCCCATTACTTAGAAAAACCACCAAGTTTCAGCCTCAAATTCAAAGTACATGATTTTATAAAATTCAAATACGTATCAGCAAAAACGAGCATAAAATCCAAAGCCTGACCTAATGAATGAATTTGTACTTGAAATTTTTACTGGAGCAACTACAGCAGGTAAACATATAAAAATTTCAGCTATTAACATCAAATACACGAATTATGAAAATTCATATGGTTTTCTGCAGTTTTCAAATTTTAATTAAAACTGAACCAATTCGAACTCCGAAAATTCTAATCTTTTTACAGCATGAAACTACACATAAAACAAGCACCTCAGCCAAAAATCAGAATTTCTGAGCAACTAGACAATTTATGATAATTAAAACATTTTTCAGCCGAAAACGTAAACAATTTATTTACCCTATCAATATCACTCCAAAAATTCTAAATATTTTACACAACATATAAACATGTCAGAGGCATAACATACTCCAATTTGAGCACAATTGAAGCACGGACCATTTTATTATGCATTTAACATGTTTCTGCCCAGACATCACTCTAATTAATTAAAATAGCTACAAATGCAATTATATTCTGAAATTTTTACACGACTTATGAAATCAGCACAGGATCATATATAAAATTTCAAAGAATTTGGACAAGAATACGATTTATTATGAATTAAATACATTTCAGCAGCAAGTTCGGTTTCGCAAAGTCATAAACGACTCAATACACATCGAAAATCGTCCAAGGCCTTCACCATAAGGCCAAGAACTCGACAAGGTTCCTTATTCCACAGCAACTTCACTTTTATAACAGGATTTAACATGATCTCTTCAAAATCAATAAAATCCCAAATAAATTTACTAGGAATTTAAATCCTAACATGCAATAATCAATAAGGCTCATCATATATCACTTATATGCATCAAAATAGATGGAGTTCAGTCCTTTTTGTACCGTTCTCACGGAAATTCTACGAGACGTTCGAAGGATAGGGGCGAACAAGGCTGAACGGACTGAAATGGACTAGACGTGCGCTCCAACGGGACTCGACGGGAAAGCTTCGGCTCGCTCGAGGGTGTGCGAGTGATCAGCGGGGGGTTGGGCAGCAATTAATGGGACCCGACAACGATGGTCAGCAGCGAGCCGGTAACGAACGACGAGCAGCGGCGTGAACGGGTCGGAATCTTACGAACATCAGGGCAGCGATGGAGGTAATCTCGCCGGAGGAACAGCAGGACCGGCGACGGAGGGTTGCTTCCGGTGATTCTCGTGGTGATGGAGGGATGCCAGAAAAAGGCGAACAGCGGTTCACGGACGGTGATGGTCTCACGAGCAGGTAGCGGGTGAAACGGCCTGGGAACTTGCCACGGTTTGCTGCTGCTCGTGGGGAGACTTCGTTGGGGATGAGTTGCCGAGAGGGATGAAAGCTGCTGGTTCGCGCTGGAATAGGGCTCGCCGGAAGTGCTTGGTCGCGGACAGGGGAGGGCTGGCCGTTCTGGTCGCGACGGAAACTGCTGGTCCACAACGAGGGTTCGCGGCGACACGCAAGGGACCGCCAGAATTGCTGCTGCGTGGCGGAGAGGGGCTTACCGGACTGGTTCGAAACTCACCAGGACCTGTACGTGCGGGTCTGATTCTCGCCAAGAATGATGATGATGGACGACGATGGTGACGACGAGATGATAAAGGAGCAAATTTCTCTTCTTCCATTGCGATCGCGAGGAGAAAAACGAGATGGAGAGGGATAGAGAGAGGTGAGGTCTGCGCACGATAAGAGAGAGGGAGATAGGGTTTGCGTGCAGGAGTTTTAATAAAAATCTTTCGGGCTCAACAAGTGATCCGCTTGGGCCGGTTTACTTAACGTTCAATTGGGCCGAGAATAAAATATGGCCCAACATGGCCATGTCACACCTTCACGGGTCAAAATAAATAAAATCCAATGGCTCGGTTCGGTTCACGCAGGTATACTCGGGCCCGATTTAATTGCGCGATGAATTAAAATATTTACCGAATAAAATATATACATATAATACACATAATAATATTTACTATTATTACACATAATTTATTTTACTAAATCACACATTAATCACATAAAATCAATTAAACAATTAGGCATTTAGCAATATCAATATTAATAATAATAATAATAATAATAATAATGATGATGATGATAATAATAATAATAATAATAATAATAATAATAATAATAATAATAATAATAATAATAATAATAATAATAATCTCAATTATCCATAAAGAAATGAGGCGTTACAGTCTACCCACCTTACAAAGAATTCCGTCCTCGGAATTCGAAAACAGAAAACTAGAAGGTAAGAGAGTAATAAAGGGGACATCACAATGTGAGGTTCGGGTACTCCCTCCGAATCTCGGTCTCCCTCTGCCAAATCGTCTCGCCCTCTACTTGACTACACCCACTGGACTTTGACAAGTATCCCTCTCGGTCTTTCCCTGATGGACCCTCGGTCCCAACAGGTCATCGATACCTCCATACAGGTAGAGTTCTGCCTATCACGCAGCTCATCATAATTCACACATAACTCGAGATCACGCACATATTCCCTCCATCACAAGGCTAGAACGTGTCATGCTTCCTCGCAAGTCCCAGTGGTGGAGTCAATCATCAGGCTGAGTTGTCGACTTGGTCGACCAACCATAATAGGACAGACAATCGACACTTAT